AGATTTAAATCTTTTGTTATTACGCTTTGCAAAAAGATATCACCTTTGTAGAACACTATGTTATGTTGCATCGGAGAGTCTGTGGATTTAAAAATCGCATTCAAAGTCAGAATTTGAACATAAATAATTGAATTACTTAATAAAAATCAAATGTTTTAAATCATTTGTAAATCATTTTTAAATCACAAAATTTGATTTAAATCATGATTTTTGCCATCTCTAGTGCTAACCCATCTTCCCCACTTTTGACGTATCTTATTAGACATAGAAATTTATTATAATGACGCACCTTCACTCGGTGAAAGTAGTTATTTCGGCCAAAAATCATTATTGTTTACTTAGTGGTCAAATTTTTCAAATTTGGGGTATTTAATAAATTCGCCGTAATGATCAATTTAGCCCATATCTAATGTAGTAAAATTCGATGAAAATTTTTTTTATTTAATTCTAGAAATTGATAAAAACAAGTTCATCGAATTTGACTAGACGGATGTCGAGATATCTTTCGATTAAAACTTAAACAAAGAGAAGCCGCGTTCAAGATTATTTTAAAACTTTTAAAGATATCTCAACATTCACCCAAGAACACTACAGACAAATTCTGAATTGTAATTGGTTGCTTATAATGTAGATCATGCTATTAATTCTCATTGGTTGATTGGAATCAACAACCACGTGAATAAAAATCAGTATTCGGACCTTTATTTTCCTAGTTTATTTCCGAAGTTGGCAGAAGTTTATTGAATTTGGTTAGGTAAATTCGAAATATCCTCAAAGTTTAAAAATTGTAAAGCAACTTCTACTGCAGGTGTGGTATTATTAAAAAAAGAGGTGTGAAAATATTTCAAACATTAAATTTAATCTCGATATAAAATTTTAATTATTTAAAAAGCTAGCTAAACAGTTATTAATATATCAACATTTATATATATTACAAAACATGGTATATAATTACAAAATATTTATATTATTCTCTATTATTTAACAATTATTTTTTAATTAAAAAATTTAAAAATAATATATTAACAATATAATTGCTTTATACCCAAACCAAATAAAACATGCAACTTTTATATAACACCAATTATCTATTAATAAATTATTATTTATACTTACTAACAAATCAAATTTTTTTTGGGCTTTTATATATTATTATGAGTTCTAAAAGCATCCCACGCATTATTTAAAGTTGAAAATACTCCATTTGCTACAAGTTTTTGTTCAATTGTAGCTGAACTGCTAAGCTAAATAAATCAATTAATATCAAATATTAATATTGTTTAATATAGTTTTAATAAAACTGATATTGATTATAAAACCAACCTTATCTGGATGAACTTTTCCAATAGCTTTCATGTACTTAATTTTAACTTGAGCAGGAGTTACCAGTTCATACAAGCCTATAGTTTTCCAGCCTAATCCTTCCCAAAGTACTGTATCCAAACTACTAATTAATGCTCTAAGGTTTGTTTCTTTTCCTCCCTTCCATTGTATTAATTTTTGATCAACCTGATCTTTACATCTCAATTTTTCTGCATCTTCAAATTCTTGTTGCCGTGTTTGATTACGTAGTTTTACTACAGCTGGATTATTTGGATCAACTGTAGTTTCTATTGTTAGATTCGATGTAGCTGGCTTTACCATAGTTGGATCAATAAAACCAAATTTATTAAGTTGTGCAGTATAGGTATTTGATGAAGCTGTATATGTTGATGGGTTTGTGAAAGTTTGTGAGCTAAAAGGCACAAAGTCATTATCAAACCCATTAACATTTGAACTTTTTTGCACAGGTTCAAAACCATCTGTTGACATATTGATGGCTTGTTGACAGCGCCTCAAACCGTCGCTAACTTTTTTATTGATATTTGGGTCAACATTCATTAATTTTTGGTAATCATCTTTAGCATTGTCATATTTTTCCATTGATTCATAAGCTGAAGCACGACGAATAAGCGCTTTAATGTATTGAGCTTTTAAGTCTACATTAACTCCTGGTGGTGGTGGTAATGTATAATCACCTATTAATTGAAGAGCTAGAATGCAATCCTCAACACATCCTCGTTGATCACCGTTCTTGGACTTTGCGGTCGCTCTATTATTATAAAGCACAACAAGTTGTATATGCTTTGAGGGTAAACAATCAATTGCGAGAGAATAAGATTTTTCAGCTTCACCAAATTGACCAAGTTTGAATGCATCATTCCCTTTGGTTTTGTGAGATTCCGAATTACGTATTTGCTCTGGAGATACATGAACTGTTGGTCGAGGAGTTGGTATAATTTTAGGAGTACCATGCGTTGAAATGTCTCCAACCATTTTTGATGATGAACTTGTATGGGGTCGTCGTCGAGCAGGTGATACATAAGATGAATTATTAAAGTCTATATTTGGCTTTGTAGATCTCGAGGGGACTGCAGGTTTTGATTTTTTTGAATCAACAAGATCGAAATTAGACAGACGATTAACTTTGTCGTTCTTTCTAAAGTCCGAAGATATTGGAGTAAAATTATCTTTATCAATGACTGGTTGATCCTCATCACTACTGGTAGTATCTTCATAACTATCGTGAAATTTTTCTAATCGACCATACTTATCTCCATTCCTAGTACCAAATTTATTTAAATTTAAATTACCAATATTTTCACTACTAGTATTATCACAACTACTAGCAATTTTTTGAAATTCTCTATTGTTATCATTAGCTTTTCCACCTCGAGAATTACTATGCTTTTCGCTTGAATAATCATCAGATTCTTGAAATTCATTTTCTTGCAACCATTTTGGCCTTCTTGTACCCTCCTCTTCTGAATCATGTTGCAGTTGAAGTTCCACTAATGCTTTATTTACTCTATCTCTTGACTGCTTATACAATGCACTTGCTTTTTTTAAAGCTGTCAAACCAAATTCACTTGCAGTGTTAATTAACTTTTCTTTCGATTGATAAAAGCTTGATGAAGTTGAAGAAGAAGATCGATCACTACTTTCACCATCTGAAGTATTCTTTCCGTAAATGTTACGTTTTGGTACACTAAAAGGACTACTCTTAGATGAATAACGTCCACGAGGTGTAAACCTTGGCTCGCTGTCATCATCATAATCACCATCGTCTTCATGGTGCGGAAGGGTGTTAGTCCTTCTTTTACCTAATCCTAAGTCCTGTTTATTTTTAAAAGTATCTCGCTTATCAATTTGTTTTTTATGAAGCTGATCTTCAGCCTCACGTTGCTGAAAAAGAATTTCAATAGCAGATTGAATATCCTCTCTACTGTCGGTAGCGGCGAGCGCAGTCTCTGCTTCAGCAGCAGAAAATCCCATTTCGACAATTTGTGCAATTAAATGATCTTTCGAATCATCACTAGGAGTTTGACCGGTATTTAAGCCTTGTAAAGGAGATTTTGAAATAATTTTTCTGTTTGTTATTGAAGGTTTATCATCTATACTAAAAGGATCAATTTTATCC